AAATGAGGATGAGAAAAAGCTTAAGAAGAAAGCTAAGAAATACGAAAAAAATATATTAAGAAAGGCTAAGATGCAGTGACTATACAGTTCAAAGGATAAATTAATAAAAGAGAATAACATACACAAAATAACACTGGGAACAGAGAGGGCAAACACACATAAGCAAAGATCGACAGAGCACAACAACCACCTTAGTGGCATAAACCTAGAAATTCACTAATTAAGAGCGATTAAATGATGTGCTTTATTGCACACGCTATACCACAGACCTCACTGCCTCACAGACTCCCACAGGCTGGTGGAACTGGGGAAGGGATCAAGTGGCTGGCCAGGCAAGGGAGTTCTGCAGATACTCAGCAAAAAGTCTGGAGGCCCAGAAGCACCTTCTGCTTTAGAACACCATAAACTTAAAAGCCCATTGTTTTGAGGCTTAAACGATACATGCTCCTTAAAGAGAGGAAGGGCGAAACGCTGCCACGGGAGAAGGAACTTGCTCAAGGGCACGCTGCGGATCCGGAGGCACCGCTGGGCTCCAAACGCTCCTAACACCTGACTCACCAGTATCAGCCGCACTATTTAAAGCCGGGAAGACAGGCAGGAATCTCAACCAGGCGACGATGAAGAGCTGGCTGCCCTCCCAGAGGCCGGGATGCTCCACCATGTGCCCCGCTGGAGGGGCCCGGCGGCGCTTCTCCTCACCCCACTCCCTCGCCCGCCTCCCTCGCCAGCCTCAAGGCGGGATGAAACCCCCCGTCCCGCTCCCGGGACTCACACGGAGGCCTCCCCTTCCCCTCGTCCCGCCGAGTGAAGGCTACGGGCGTGGGGTAAGGCAGGGCCTCCGCTCCCCCGGCTCCTTCCCCCGCTGCTGCCGGACCGGAGGCCCCACAGTCCCCGGCGTGAAGCCCGCAGGCCGCCGCAGGCCTCGCTCCTCAGGGGCGGGCGGGACGAGCCCCGGGCGGCGGCCTGAGGGAGACCCCGGGCCTGAGGGAGACCCCGGCCTGGCAGCAAGCGAGAGCCCGGAGCTCCCCCCCGGGGAGAGGACACCGCGGGGCCCGGGAGGACCCACGGGCTGGCGGGGCTACTCACCCTCCGGCGATCAGGTGGAGCAGGGTGCTGTGCTCCGGCATGGCCCGATGCTCTGCCCCGCCGTCCGCACCGCCGCCACCACCCCCCAGCCCCGCGGGGCCGCCACCGGGCCCGCCCGCCACCCACCGCGCATTGGCTCCCGCCCGGCCGGAGGAGGCGCCCGGGCACCGCATGGCGGGAGGGGCGGGCCCGGGGAGGCGGCCCTGTGGAGCTGCCAGTCCCGGCCCCACCGCCCGCGGCGTCTCCAGGCCCGGCGGCCTCCTCTGTGGTACAGCGGGGACGGTGCCCCCCCCCCCAACGTGCGTTCTGAACCCCGGCAAAATATGCCCAAAATACGGCTGAACCCAGGCGAAATAATTTATTCGAGGTCAGGCGGCGGGGAAGGGATGGGCCCGAGAGCAGAGGCTGGTCGTTCCTGCTTCTCATCCTGCCCCAGCCGCACCGCAGATGCTTTCTCTGATCTTTGGTTTTACACAAAAAAAGACCCGCCGAACAAATTAGGCCCATGGTTTTGAAGTTTGAAGGACCACTGTGTCAAAAGTGGGGAATATTCAGGGCCCGAAAGGTCCGCTGTTGCTTTTGGAAATGCAAAGTTTCAGATGATGTCAGAGTTCACAGGATATCACCTTCCTAGGAAAAATAGAGCTGGGGCTCTATAGCCTGGAGAAAAGGAGGCTGAGGGGAGACCTTATCTACGTCTTTTTCTGTACCTTCAAGCGGAAGAACACCCAAGCCTCGATTTTAGGCAATGACAAACTGCAACTGAGCCATGGAAGATGCTTTCTGAAGGCCTACCAGGCTGTCTTCAGACTGGTGCAAGTGATACCATGATATCTTCACTAGATCAGAGGATTGCTTAATGTTGGAACTGGGTCAGTGGCGAGCCCTGCTTTGCAAGAGTCTTTGTCAGCCTGAAGGCAGCCAAGATCCAGGGAAAAGGCTGGCTTCCCAGGAGAAGAGAAAGAGGGGAAGAGAAAAGAAGAGAGGATACAAGAGTGTGTCTTGTCCCCGCAGGCAACAGCGATGACCCTGAGTGCTTTCCCTATGGGGCCTCTTTTTGCTGCTCAGGCTGAGGAAGGGAGGCTGCGGGGACATTTTTACAGGTCAGGCTTTCAGAGTCCCTGCCCTGAACCAGTAGGACAAGCTGAACTGGTGTCACGGGCATACCCCAAGACCCCGATACAAATGTTTATAAATCAAAACAGCTTCATCCTGACTTCTTCACAGCTCGGTCTCTGATGGCTTTTGGGTTTCTGCCTGTGCCGTATCTTGGTGCCTGCACTCCCCTTCCCCATGTCTTTGTGTGGTCTATTGGTTTTCCTAGCAGCAGCCCCCTCTGTCTGTTTCACTGAATTTCACTGAATTTTTAGAGTTGGAAGGGACCATAGAGATCATCTAGTCCAACTCCCCTGCTAAAGCAGGATTGCCTAGAGCTCGTCAGAGCATGTTACTCAGGACTGCATCCAGGCGGGTCTTGAAAATCTCCAAAGAAGGGGACTCCACAACCTCCCTGGGCAGCCTGTTCCAGGGCTCTGGCACCCTCACTGTGAAGAAGTTTTTTCTCATATTTGAGTGGAACTTCCCATGTTCCAACTTGTGCCCGTTGCCCCTTGTCCTGTCACTGGGAACCACTGAAAAGAGTCTGGCTCCCTCCTCCTTCAACCCACCCTTGAGATAATTGTAAGCGTGAATAAGGTCTCCCCTCAGCCTTCTCTTCTCCAGACTGTTCTTCTCGAAAGTCAGTCAGGATTCTGCCCCAAAGCCTCCTCCCTCTGTCTGTCTCTTCAAGTGCTCTTGCTAACCCTCGATCACGCTGAGGGTAAACAGGGTTGGCATTTGGTAAGTCCTGTTTGTTATTCCAGGGGCTTCGCTCCGGAAGGGTTGGGTTATTGCGCTCACAGTCCTTGAATGACTACGACTTACAGGCAAGTGGGGTGCAATGCCATAAGGCAGGCACCTGGAAGGGTGGAATGTCTTGTGCCAGTTGTCACGCAGCGTGCGCAGCCTCGGTCTCCATGTGTAAGAGCAGTTATGTAAATGCCTTTTCAAGTGTCACCATCTTAATGCAGCTGCCTGCCAGATGTAGGGCATTTCCACACCAGTGCCTGAATGGATCACCGAATCACAGAATTGTGGGGCTTGGAAGGGACCTCTGGAGATATAGTCCAACCCCCTGCCAGAGTTGGTCCACCCAGAGCAGGTTGCACAGGCACTTGTCCAGGCGGGTTTTGAATGTCTCCAGAGAAGGAGGCTCCACCACCTCTCTGGGCAGCCTGTTCCAGGGCTCTGCCACCCTCAAAGTAAAGAATTTTTTTCTCATGATAAGATGGAATTTCCTGTGTTCCAGTTTGTGCCCATTGCCCCTTGTCCTGTCACCGGGCCCCACTGAGAAGAGTCTGGCCCCATCCTCTTGACACCTGTCCTTCAGGTATTTATAAGCATTGATGAGATCCCCTCTCAGCCTTCTCTTCTCCAGGCTAAACAGACCCAGGTGTCTCAGCCTTTCTTCATAAGAGAGGTGCTCCATTGAGCCCGAGTCTCAAGTGTGCTTTCAAAGGGGATCTTCCAGTAATCCTCACTTGCTGGGTTTAGGTTTTTTACTGCAGAACAGTCTTGGTGAGCAAACTAGATTCCTTTGGGGTGGTGCAGAGCTAGCTAGGGTGCCGTACGCAGGAGCAGGCCTCGTGCCTCTCAGCCGCTAATTGCTCTGCAGCCCGTGGGGCCAGGGAAGACATAGTCCCAAGTAAAGCTCCCCGAACATGTTTGGTGGGGATGTTGGATTTCCAGCCCCAACTCTGGTCACTTTAAAGATGTGGCTCCCATCGAGCCACACATCTTTAAAGATGTGTCCAGTTTGTGTCCAGTTCTGGGCTCCCCAGTTCAACTGCTGGAGAGGGTACAGCAGAGGGCTACAAAGATGATGAGGGGCCTGGAGCATCTCCCTTATGAGTAAGGGCTGAGGGACTTGGGTCTTTTGAGTCTACAGAAGAGAAGGCTGAGGGGGGATCTGATCAATGCTTATAAATATGTTAAAGAGTGGGTGTCAAGAGGATGTGACCAGTCTTTTTTCAGTGCTGTTCAGGGGTAGGGCAAGAGGAAATGGGCATAAACTTGAATATAAGAAGTTCCATCTAAACATGAGGAGGAACTTCTTTACTTTGAGGGTGGCAGAGCCCTGGAAGAGGCTGCCCAGGGAGGTGGTGGAGTCTCCTTCTCTGGAGACATTCAAAACCCGCCTGGACAAGTTCCTGTGCAACCTGCTCTGGGTGGACCGGCTCTGGCAGGGGAGTTGGACTAGATGATCTTTGGAGGTCCCTTCCAACCCCATGTGATTCTGTGATTCTGAGCCACGCTACGTGCTAGCGAGTGCGGAACTGGCTGTACATGCCATAATGCATTTCCAAGCTGTGCGGAGAGCGGTCGAGCAGACTTTAACCACCGAAGAACAGCGCCGAAAACGGCACCAGGCGTCAGGTTTTGGGGACAGACGGACTGCATCTGGGAAATCTGGAGAGGGCCCTGCGGAGGAGCAAGTTCCTTCTTGAAGAGGGGAATGTGGGCCTTGATTCTGAAAAAGATTTACTTATAGCACCCTAATGTCACCAGAGGCATCATCCAAACCCTGCTTTCTGCTTTTCCTAGTCTTTTAGCAGCCACGCGTGAAGGAGGCTCTGATTTTCCAGGTGCTCTCCTCTTCCTTTGGAACCACACCTGGAAAATGACAGAAACCGCAAAGGAGCTGACATTTCCATTTCCATCTCCGTGCCTTACCTGAAGCCATCGCCCACTTTTCAGCTAAACAGAAAACTCCTTCTGACCTGTTTACTGGGACTCTGGCCCTTTAAGGCGCGCCGGTGCGGCGCTCGCGGGGTGCCTGGCCCTTTAAGGGCTGGCCCCGCCCCCTTCCCCCCCCCGCCTCCTCTGCCCCGTGAGTCCCGGGAGCCCCGGCAGTCCCAGGTACGGTGCCGGGGGGGGGAAGCGGAGGACCCCGCCGGTCCCGGCC